AGAGGAGCCTTAAAGAGACAACCGGCCTCCGCAGCGGTGTTGCAGGAAGTGCCAGGAGGAGGAGGAGGAGGAGGAGGAGGGCGCAGGAGCCGGAGCCGGAGCGCAGGAGGGCTCCTGCGCTCCGGCTCTGTCTCCTGCGCCCTCCTCCTCCTTCTCCTCCTCCTCCTCCTGGCACTTCCTGCAACACAGCTGCGGAGGCCGGTTGTCTCTTTAAGGCGCCTCTCTCTCCCAGCAACACAGCTGGGGGAGAGAGGCGCCTTAAAGAGACAACCGGCCTCCGCAGCTGTGTTGCAGGAAGTGCCAGGAGGAGGAGGAGGAGGAGGAGGAGGAGGGCGCAGGAGCCGGAGCGCAGGAGCCGGGGAGGGGATTCCTGCAGCGCCGGCTCTGTCTCCATGCGCCTATGAGCTCAGTGTACGTATAATACCATTCTGTGAATCGGGCAGTTAGTCAGACCCATCTCTTCTGATGACAAATGTCACACCTATCACATAGGAGGTCCTTCCCATGTAAGCAACATCTGACCGAATTCATTCTTCTATACAACTGGGAAAGATACAGGAGTTCTGCTCCTAATAAAGATGGGAATAATATGTGAAAATATTCTAAAATGCAAAAGAATGTTTACTATCAAGTAACCCTGATGAAATGAATCCTGGATTGATAAGAAACTTTGCAGTTATACCCTTAACGGATCGACCCCGCGCCAATAACGAAGCTTGTTTACGCATGCGCGGGGGTCCGCCATCTTTACAAAATGTTTTGTAAATATTTACGAAATTTCGTAAATACCAAACTTTTTTTGGGAAAATTTTGTAATTATTTTAAATATCGAAACAAAAAAACACCCCAATTACAAATCGATTTTAGAAACAAATTTTTTCTTGATCAAACAGGCCTAGTAGTCAAGGGAGAAAAAGAGGCATTTTACATGTCTTCAGAGGCAATCCCACCTGTATTATTCTCAGCTTCTCAGGCTCTGGCAAATATTATGTTTAATAGTAAAAAAAAAAACCTGATTCCATACATACACACCCATAGCTGTTGTCTACTGCTTTGTGGTCTATTTAACACTAAGCTATTCTCCAGCCTCTTGAAGATATTTTTGTGGATCATATAATTCATAGAGTTGGAAGAGACCACAAGGGCCATCCAGTCTCACTGTCTGCAATGCAAGAACACACAGTCAAAGCATTCCCAACAGATGGCTCTCCCGTCTCTGTTTAAAAACCTCTAAGGAAAACTCAACCACACTTTAAGGCAGCATATTCCATTGTTAGA